TCGGCTCCCACCTCCACGAAGGAGATGTAGACTTTGTACAAAACCTGGCGGCAGAAGCAGATCACCATCCTCAGACTAAATCCGGCCAAAGACTGAGAAACCAGGAGAGCTTCGGGCCCAGCAGATGCTCTTGCATCCAGACGGATGGCAGCAGAAGCTCAGGTGGGTCAGGGTCAAGGGTCAGGGTTAGGATCAAGGGTCAGGGGTTGGGGTTACAGTTAGGGTTAGGATCAAGGGTCAGGGTTCGGATCAAGGGTTAGGGTTCGGATCAAGGATTAGGATCAAGGGTCAAGGTTAATATCAATGTTTAGGGTTAGCATCAAGGATCAGGTTTGGAGTCAGGGTTAGGATCAAGGGATAGGGTTTGGATCAAGGGATAGGGTTACGATCAAGGGTCAGGGTTAGGATTAACGGATTGGGTTAGGATCAAGGGACAGGGTTAGGGTCAGGGTTAGGATCAAGGGTCAGGGTTAGGATAAAAGGCTAGGGTTAAGATAAAGGGTTAGGATCAAGGGCCAGGGTTAGGGTCAAGGGTCAGGTTTAGGGTTTTGGGCGGGAAGTTTGCACTCTGCAGGTTTACATATTGCAAGGAAATCCCCCCGAGGAGTCTTCTGGGAAACCCCGACCCCTGACCCTAACTCTGACCCTAACCCTGACCTTTGATTCTAACCCTAACCCTTGATCCTAACCTTGACCCTAACTCTGACCCTAACCCTAAACCTTGATCCAAACCCTGACCCTGACTTTTGATCATAATCCTAACCCTGACTCTCACCCTTGATCTTATCCTGACCGTTGACCCCACCCTGACCCTGTGTCCTAACCCTGACTCAGACCGTTGACCTGTTCATTACTCTGACCCTTGACCCCACCCTGACCCTGACTCTGACCCTTGACCCCACCCTGACCTTGACCCTGGCGGTTCATCTGCATGCTGCTGACCCTCTTCTGGAAACAGCTTTTCTCCGGGGACCTGAGCTCACACCTTCAGGATTCCAGCCTTTGGTTTTTTTCCACTTCTGGTGGGATTAGCTCATATTCTGAGTGCTGCGGAGGATTACTTAGCAGAGGTTAATCTGCTCTCAGCTGATTCATGTCAGCTTTCTGAGCCTCTCCTGTCCCTCAGGCCAGAGAACCCGCCTGCAGTTCTGCTGGACCTGACCCGGACCTCAGAACCCACATCAGGGCTGGACCCAGAACCTCCGGCCGACCAACCCACCAGCTTCTGGGCCTGGCTAAACCTCTTACTGCTGCTGTCTCACAGCACCACAAACACCGCAAACACAATCAAAGGTCGCCCTCGGCTCTCGGCCCACGCCGCCTGCGGACGCTATCGACCCGCTAAGCCTCTCTGTCGCCCCGGCAACGCAGCAGCCGTATGCCAGCAGGCAGGGCGAGTCAGAGCGTCTTTACATGAAGGTCCTGCTGCCTCC